TCTAAAATGTATGTAGTCTTTTATAGGTTAGAGATGACATTGCTTATACAACAGTCTGCACTCCCTTCCAGGACTCTTATAAACTAACTCTCAGACAAAGAGCCGGCTTGAGTATCCTATCCAGGACCCCTCCCAGCCTCATCACCATGGAACACAACCCAGGCAATCCAGTAACAATAGCACAGGCGCTCTCTTGTCTTTCCCAGCTGTGGTCCAGCTGTCAGAATCCAACACTCTTGTGATTTGTAGACAACCACCTTCCTCTTTTCCCCACTGCCATTCAGGCTCCCTCCTTCCAGGGAATTCTCTTCTCTCCCTCCTGCCTCATTGGCAGTGTTGGGGATTCTAGCCAGGGGTTCCTCATCCCTCCCGATGAATGTGCTGGAAACCTGGCTGCCCATCTTGGGTCCACTTGGCTGTCACCCTACCCTAGCTGCATCTTGCAGCAATGGTCCAGAGTGAGATCCTCCCCTTCTCAAGTTTCCTGCAGAAATACAGATCATCTTGCTGGATACTATAACTGGAACATGTAGGGGGTACTGGGTAGATGGGTGAGTTTGGTCCCTCTCTGGTTCAGGACTTAGTCCCTACTCTTGGATCTCTGACTCTGTCTTTGGAAAGGTCTGTGTTTCCCTGCTGCCCAAGCCCTGCTCCCCATTGCCTCCCCCACAGGCTCCAGAGCCCCAAGAACCTGACCACAGCCTCCTAGGAAGCCACAGAAGCACCTAGCACCAAGGGTGGGCCACGGTCCCCATCATATCCCTATAGTTTGTCTTCACCCTCGCATAATCACCGAGCTGAGTTGGAGCTGAGATAAAATCACAGTGGTTCTTTCAAAGAGATCCAGGGACCTCTGCAAGGAAGCTGTCGCCAAGGTCCTCTCTCTGCTCCATTCACTTCAGTTTACTGTCCATGTTCAAGGTCAGGCTCTGGCCAGACTGGAAGCTTCCGGAAGGCAAGGATGCCAGGCACTCGCTGGTGCTTATGTCCTCAGAGCTCAGCATTCACCTTTCAATAAGAAGCGAGGCCTTGCAGCTTGATCTCTTTTTAAAAAGCATTTGTTTCTGAATTGGTTCTCATTCTTGAAAGTTTGGAAAACATAGAAAAGAACAAGGAAAAAGTATCACCCAAACGCTAAAACGGTATATTGCTTCGCAGGTTTCACTCTGTGTGTGTAAAATCTGGAAGCTTGTTATTCTTGCTGAACATAATATAAATGTTTTCCTTATTTTTTGTCTCTGTATCTATTGAGCAGCTATAGTACATCAGAGACTGCGTTTGGTCCTGTAGATGTTTAAATGGGGAATTTCAATGAGAGGGAATCTTTCCAAGACAGAAAAGCAGAAGCTCATAAGGAAGGCCATAAATACTGCCTTCAAGATTCTATATGTGAGACAGGCATGGTGGTGCATGCGTGTAATCCTAGCACTCTGGGAGGCTGAGGCAGGAGGAGTGCAAGTTCAAGACCAGCCTGGGCAACTTAGCAACTTACTCAGATCCTGTCGAGAGAGAGAGAGAGAGAGAGAGAGAGAGAGAGAGAGAGAGAGAGAGAGAGAGAATAGAGAGAGAGAGAGAGAGAGAGAGAGAGAGACAGAGAGAGACAGAGAGAGAGAGAGAGAGAGAAAGGCTGGGGATATAGCTCACCGCTCAGGCTCTGGGTTCAATCCCCAGTACTACCAAACAGCAACAACAAAAAGATCCATACAAAGATAGTAAGCATGAGACTAACAAGAGTAGCCAAAAAAGTCAGCATTCAGACCTGGTGTCCATTACCCCAGCCATGACAGATGTGCTGACTTTATATAGTGGGGAACTCCAAGGCTTAGCCCGAATTTTCAGAAAAAGCCAAAAGTAGTTCAATAAGAGTAGTTTTTGAGTGGGGGCCATTCCCTAAGCAGTCTTTTTGTTAAAGACACCCTTGTTTAAAGGTGACGATTGTCATCTTCTGTCCCTACTGATGGGGAGGACTCTGGGAGGCTTGGAGCACAACCTAGAGGCGCTCTCTGGCTGGCATCACACTGGCCCCTCAGTTGACTCATTCCAAGAAGGCCAGGCATCCTAGGAGGAAGAAGAGGCTGAGGAGCAGCCAGGGCAGTGGAAAGTAGGGATACCTGGGAGCTTAGGGACCAGTATCCCCCAAAGCAAGGCAGAGGATCAGTGTCCTGAGAAGCATGTCTGTACCTAGTGTCCAGCCCCACCTGAGAAGATGTTCCTGGCCATTCCTACACACTCGTGGCTATCTGCTGGCCCACTGCCTTTGACCTCAGGGACACAATTTGCTGTCCTTTGATCTTGACCCAAGATTGGGTCTAACACCGGGGAGATGGTTTCCAAACCTGGTGAGCCTCTTTCTGGAAGCTCTTCCTGGTAGATTCAAGGTCCTTCCAGTCTCTCTGGTGGGCACTTCTTACACACACTTACTCACATGGCTGGTGTTCGCAGAGCACCACACAGCCCCAAAGTGGAGACAGCCACGCCTGGTGAGGAACAGACCAGGGTTCAAGGGAACCCGAGTCCCCAGCCTCCATTGGCAGCAAAGATCAGCATCTCCCAGGGGGCCTTCTCTCACTTGTCCTCTACTGCAAAAGTCCCTTCCCACATCCACTTTAGGTTCTTGTACACAAACAATGTTCTCAATGACCTGGACTGAGAACTTCAGGGCTCCCCCAGATCTCAGCTGATTCCGGGGCAGGGGAAGAGAGGGTGGAGACAGAGCTTTCCAATTAATCCACGGATGACTAGGCAGGGGCTTGTTTTCCAGCTGCACAGGGAGCAGGTGCAGAGGGTTGGCAGGGCCTGGAAATGCACAGAGCAGGAATCAAAGCTCTGGGAAGCAGCCCTGCACGCAAACCCTCCCCACACCCCACCTCCAACCCTACTGCTATTTTTCTCCCAACCACACAAACACAGACAGGGGTCCTTGGCGTTTTGCATAACCATCATTATTACTAATAATAAGGCAGCTCTAGACTTGCAAGTGTGTGTACTGGGCAGGCGACTTGGATGCTCTCAGATGCTCTGGAAATGGCTGAAAGAGGACAGAGGATATTGAACCAGGGGAGAGGGAGGTGAATGACAGATGGAGCGGGAACTCGCCATACCAGTAATTGTGGCTCTTTTGTGCCAGGCTGTTGACAGCCTCCTGCTGGTTGGGCTTTTGATTGATTATTTCAGTATTGGGAAACGGACCCAGGGCCTTCTCACTGAGCTAAATCCCTAGCAGTTTTTATTTTTCATCTTAAGACAGAGGTTCACTAAATCACTAAGTGGCCCAGGCTGGACTTGAAAGTGCCATCCTCCTGCCTTAGGTCCCAGAATGCTGAGATCACAGACACGCACTACCACGCCCACCCCTTGCCCCCTTGGAATGCTGCATCCACCCACCCTGGGACTACTCTTCAGAAACCTCCTGTGAGAGAATCAGATGTTCTTACTATTCTTAAACGTTGGGGATTCCGTGATGCTGACCAGCTGAGCTTGGGCACTGGGATTGGGAGGGGCAATGCCTGGCCTTCTCTTCCTCTGCCTGACCCCATCAACCAGATCTTAATCCTCTCCACGTAATTCTCTAAATTCCCCCTGGGCTCCTGATTAGAAACGCAGATTCCAGCCAAGTATGGTAGCACACTCCTGTAATCCCTGCACTCGGGAGGCTGAGGCAGGAGGATCGCTGTGAGTTCTAGACCAGCCTGGGCTACGTAGACAGTTCTAGATCAGTCTCACCTACATAGTGAGACGCCGTCTCAAAAAAATAGAAAAGAAAGAAACGCAGATTCCTTTTACTTGACTCACACAGGCTCCGCCCAGGAACTCAGGGTTGGGGTCCGGGAGCTCTGTGCAGATCCCAGTGTGGAGAGTCATTGTCCTAGACCATCTCCTTAGGAGTCATGCTCATTTCTTCCCAAAGTGAACTCTCTCCCCAGTGCTTCAGGATCTGGACATCAGCCACAGCTCTGAGCTTATGACCTAGAGCCAGTTTCCTAGCTTCCCTGCAACTCAATTCTCTTCCCTATGCGATGGTCCTATCTCTGGGGACCTCTGTGAAGGTGAACTGCGATAATGTTGCCAAGTACCTCCCACGGCATCTGGGACAGTCGGCTTAATAAAGGTACCAAATACACAGTGCGACCAAATATGCAACAGATTCTTAAACTGGAAGTTTTCAAATGTATCACAGTAACAGACACACTGCTATTAATCTCCTCAAAATCTTTCCCTTCCGTTTAGACACTTATCCCGCCATGCTGGCCACTTTCCGAAGCAGTTCTGAAAGTGCTCCTTCTGGAGTCACGACTGACTGCCCCAATGTCCTGAATCCACTGGAAATGCTGACCATTCATGATCATCTTGTCTTTAAGGAATAGCCAGAGTCACGTGGTGGTGGCAGATCCAGTGAATAAGGACGATGAGAACACACTGTCATGTCCTTTTTTTTTTTTTTTTTTTTTTTAACCGGGGGTTTAATTTTGGGCTTTTC